AACTTTTTTAAAAGATTTATTTATGTATTTGAAAGTTAGAGTTACATAGAGGAGAGGCAGAGAGAGAGAGAGAGAAAGAGAGAGCGAGAGAGAGGTTTTCATCCACTGGTTCACTCCCCAATTGGCTACAATGGCTGGAGCTGGGCAAATCTGAAGCCAGGAGCCAGGAGCTTCTTCCAGGTCTCCCATGTGGGTGCAAGAACCCAAGGACTTGAGCCATCCTCTACTGCCCTCCAAGGCCATAGCAGAGAGCAGGATTGGAAGTGGAGCAGCCAGGACTTGAACTAGCGCCCATTTGAGATGCCAGCACAGCAGGAGGCGGCTTTACCTCCTATGCCATGGTGCCAGCCCCTCAATTAACTTTTATCCAAAGACTTTTATCTGTCTCTTTGGCACATATAAAATTGTTTAAGGAGTCAAACAGCTTTTTCAAATTAGGGTGGTATCCTATACTGAAGTGGGAAGACATTTTCAGAGAAAAAAAAGACATGGTTTAAACAACTCTATTTTTAATATATATGGCAGGTGTATGATTTGACCCTATAACTCCCAACTAACCATAGAGTTAACCCAAACTACACAGACCACCATAATAAATAGTACATACCATATGCACACTAGTGAATTGAATTCAAGTAGGAAAAATATATGCAAAGATGCAATGATAAAAGAAGCAGGTTGGTATAAAATTTGCCATGTGTCCAATAGCCTTTGGAGCTTATTTAACCCTACTAGGAAGCCCAAGATATGGGTTTGATAATTTTTTTTAATGTGTCAGCATGACAGGGATAAATAATGCCCAGATACCTACTAAATGATTTCTGAATGTGTCGGAGGACATTTATAGAAGAGATTAGCATTAACATTAGTCTGTAAACTGAGTATAGAAAGTTGCTATGTGGGTGGGTTATTATCCAATTCATTGAAGGCCTGAATAGAACAAAAACACAGAGAAAGGGCAGATTTGCTCTGTTAAGGCTGGGCCATTCATCTTATGCCGTTGGACATCACTGCTTCTAGTTTTTGTGCCCTTGGACTTGAACTGTCATTTATACCCTTGATTCCCTCTGTTTTCATGCCTTCCAGTTTGAACTGGAACTGGAATAACTATAGCACCGGTTTTCTTGGCCTCCTGGTTGCAAATGTAGAATCATAGGACTACTCAGCTTCCATGATTGTGTGAGACATTCCCCCACAAATCTTTTTATACATATTTTTGTATTCCTCATTTTTCTCTCTTTGTAGAAATATGCTTCATGCTATAGGTGATATTGTTATGAGCATTTCACTGTCAAAGGAACTATGCACATAGGGTTACATAATTTTCTACACATGGTTCCAAATACTGTGCTCTTATCTTCCTGTACCTATAACATAATTTGCTAATGTGACAAATGGGAGTCTTTTGAAAGTATTTTAGAGCCTCAAAAAATGTGGAGACTTGTCAAAGGTATTGGAGCAAGGTGTTTTCTCGGAAGTAGTGTCCTTCATTTTGATTCCTAAAAGATGGATAAGCCAGGAGTGGCTACAGAAAAAGTAAGAGGCAAGTGTCATTCTGCAGTGACAAAAATCTGGGAGTTAGAGACAGCATAGAATTCTTAACTGCACAAATGCAATTTGATGACATTAACAAATATTTACATTAATGCAAAAGGACCAGAATTAGATACAAGTTTTAGATGATGTATACCAGGTAATTTCTTGATATTTTAGAGTTCAATGAGGTCTCCGCCACCTTCTTTATGATGCTATGCTTTTATTAATTGTACCTGAGTTTACATTTGTGTTTTTATGCCCATATCACAGAATTGATTCATGTTAAAAGGAATGGCAGCAAAAACCTCTAAGTCTTATTCACAAGTTTTGATTCTAAAATTTATCTCCACTATAGTATGTAGTTGTCTTTTGGTGTCTGTTGGGAATTTTTCCAGGAATCCTGTGTATACCAAAATCTGTGGAGGTGTGAGTGCCTCACATATAATGGTATAGTATTTGAACATAGTTTATAAACATCCTGCCATGTACTTTAATTCATCTCCACACTATTTTTTACCACTTCATAACATGTTAAATGCTATGTTAATAGTTATTGTTCTATAATTTTTAGGAAATAATAGGAAGGAAAATGGTCTGTATATGTGTAGTAAACCACAATTTTTTTCTGAATGTTCAATTTGTGCTTGGTTGAGTCTATGGATACAGAGCCCATGGGTCCAAGAGCCAACTGTATTTAATGTACTGGTACTCTGAATCCAACTGTAGTATTTCTGCTGTTTTATATTTGAGGTGTCATTCAAATTTTTACATATCCTTTAAAGTGCATATAGTTCTGTAACCAAACATACTGGCTTCTTGCAGTATACATTTTTTTATGAATTACTTCAGTGTTTATAACATTGTTAAAAGTCATGCTCATAGCAGGTTTGGAGTAGGATCTCTGAGGTTTACTACTGAAAACCCTACAGTTAGCCTTCTACATTTGTACGCACATGTACATGATTGCCTGGCCTGTTGCTAAAAAAATAATTGTACTTAAAATTTATGTGAAATCATGAGAGGTAAGAGGATGACATTCAGAAAGCTGATGTCATAGACATTTCCTTTATTTCCAGTCTCAATATATCTGTAATAGAAAGAAAGGGGATAATTCCAAAATGTCACATTTGTGCACATGATGCAGACTCAGCTTATTGATCTATATGTTCCTCTGAATGATCCACTCATCTTTTTAATAAATCATCTTTTACATTGGCAGGTTTCACATTAAGTACTAATTTATGGAATTCCTGTCATTCAACTTTGGAGAGTTGGAAAAATGGGTGCTGACCTCTAGTCATTTAGCAATACTTTATTCTCAGAAAATTCTACTCAGTTTACCAATAGTATGTTGGATATTTTATTTAAATTCTGGCACATGGTTTATATGATCTGTATCAGAAAATTTTACTCTCTTAAAAAGTGAGCCCATAATTAAGCTGTTGTCATGTGTCTTGGAATGTTTCTTAACTACATCATTTACTATAAGTAATTATCTATCTTCTAGAAATTAAAGAAGTTACAAATTGGTTAGTTTTACTTTTTTGTGTTGTCAACTATCATAACTACACCATTAGATCTAAAGAAGCTCATTGGTGCTTTGATGTTTTGCATACAATGAAGAGAATTAAAAAATAAAAAAGTGCATTTATGGGATGGATTTTGTTGCAGCAGTTAAGATAATATTTAGAATACCCAAGAATGCCTGCTTCCAATTCATCCTCCAGCTAATGCACACCCTGTGAGACAGCAAGTAATGACTCAAGTACTTGGGTCCCTGACATGATTCCAGGTTTCTGGCATCATTCTGGCCCAGCCCCGGTCGTTGCAGCATTTGGGGAATGAATCAGAATATGGAACACACACACCCTCCCCCACCCTCTGGCACTCTACTTTACGAATATATCAAAATAAATAAAGCCATAAAAATAGTATTCGTTGATCTATTTATTATAATTGATAGAAGCTACATTTATTATTGTAATTTTTATGGATTATAAAAATTATAAAAATTTTGATGTTCCACATCATGTTTTGATTTGTGTATATATTGTTCCCATCAGTGTTAACTTATCTACCTCCTCAAACAGTTAAATAGTTGTCATTTCTCCTTAGAGGCACTACTTTTTAGAATTAATTATACGTACAGTTAACTTTGAAATGTTCTTGATGAATCTCTGTCCTTCATTTTCCCACATCCTCTTACTTAGTATGTCTTAACAGAAGTGTGATAACAGAATGTCTTAAAGTTAATATATCAAGTCATTTTTAATAATAAAATGAGAAAATGATTTATATAAAAATATTTATTTGAAAGGCAGAGTTACACAGAAAGCGAGAGACAGAGAGAGGGAGAAAGAGAGAGAGAAAGAGAGGCCTTCCATATGTTGGTTCACTGCCCAAATGGCCACAACAGCTGGGTTTGGGCCAAGCTGAAGCCAGGAGCTGAGAGTTTCTACTGGTTCTCCCACATAGGTGGAAGGCGCCCAAACACTTTGGCCATCCATTGCGGCTTTCCCCAGTACTTTAGCAGGGAGCTGGAACAGAACTGGAGGAACTGGGTCTGGAAGGGGTGCCCATATGGGATGCTGGCACTGGAGGCCATGGATAACCTGCTAAGCTACAATGCCAGCCCTGAAAATGATATTATTTCAATGAAAAATTTCTCTTTCAATCTGTTAAATATATATGTACACCAACTTTAGCTTTTGTTACCCAAACACCTAAAATAAAAACTGCATACTATTTCATAGTTTCATCAGCTATTACTCTTTTCATCAAAATTATATCACTGGTGATGATCATGTAGTGTGGTGGCTAAAGCCACCACTTTGGATGCCTGTTTCCCATTTCAAAGTGCCTGGGTTGGCTGCTGCCTGCAAGGCTGGCATCCCATATGGGTACCAGTTTTTGTTCTCTCTCCCCCATTTCCAATCCAACTCCTTGCTAATGGCCCAGGAAAAGCAGAGGATGACCAAAGTGTTTGGGTCTCTGCCACCCATATCCCACATGGGAGACCTGGTTGAAGCTCTGGGCTTTAGCCTGGCCCAGCCCTAGCCTTTGTGGCCAGCTAGAGAGTGAACCAGTGAATGAAAGATTTTCTCTCTCTCTCTCTCTTCTCCCTCTCTGCCTCTCACGGTCTCTCTGTAACTCTTTCAAATAAATAAATAAATCTTAAAAAAAAAAAAAAACACCCGTATTGAGTCCTGGTTACTGTACTTCCCATATAGCTTCCTGCTAGTTCATTCATTCATCCTGGGAGGCAGGAAATGATGGCTGATTCAAGTAGTTGGGTCCATGTCACCCATGTCAGAGACCTAAATTGTGTTTGTTTCTGGCTCCTGCATTCAACCTAGCAACAGCTTTAATTGTTGTGGCATTTACAGAGTGAGCCAATGAATGGAATATTTGTCTCTGTCTCTTTCTCTGTCTGTAACTATGCCTTTCAAATAATGTAAAAATAAAAAAAAATTAATTAGCTTAATTTAATATTATTTTAAACAAAAATGATAACTGTAGAGACATGAATGTGTTAGTTGGGATGAAATCAATTCACAAGGTATATACATGTGAAAACTTCCATTTGCAACTTTAAGTATAAAAATTATGTTTCAATACTATCCCCATAGGGCTGTTAACAAATAAAGCAATGCACCATGTTTGTGTAGTTGAATGTTCTAAAGCAGAATTATAACAAGAGTTACAGTTATGTTTTCTTTACATTCACGGTTTAGGTTTGAAAACATTACAATGCTTTCTAAATTTGCAGGGTAAAATTGAGTACGCGATGACATCTGAAGAGACAATTTCCTGAGTCTCTCTCTCGCAGAAAATGATCACAGTTTAGCATTACAATTCTATCTTTCTGCTTTCTGTAGTCTGACCAGCATCAATCTGTGCGTTCGCTGTTTCTGTCACCCGCTAAAATGATTCTTATAACTCTCCCAAGGTAACATAAGTGGGTACTCAGTATCAGAAATGTCTGTGCTTTCAGTTTCAGAGATTAACTCTGTAATAAATTCTGCTGACTGATGCATTGTCCACTGTTTTGAAGTGATCTCTGACATAAAAAAGAAAATAAGCACCTGCCTGCCACCCAGATTTCCCCAAGCTGGGAGTCCCACATTGGCTCCCTTACGTTCTCGTTTTAACCTGAAAATACAAGACTGCACTAAGTGGCTGACAGGTTCGTTTTTCTATGGCTAGGCAAAGTTGGCACAGTTTCAAATTATCAAACTTCAGAAGCCACTTAAATCCAGGGTACATTGCATCATTGGGTTTGTGGAGAACGCAGAGCCCTTAATCTGAGAGCAGTCTTACAGATATAAACCTTTCCTTCTTGAACGGGTTCTTTTTCTAGAAATGAATTGCACTGTTTGGCGATTCTGACTATTCCCTCTGTGTGTCATCCCACTCAGGAGCAAGTGCCTGTTGACTTACATTATGACTGTCCACTGGAGACACTTATTACCGTCTTACTCAGGGAAAACCGCCAAGGAAGCCTAGCAAAAACACGTTCTGTTTTCAAGTGCATCCCTAGGATGCTTGTTGCTGGTGTCTCTGCAAACACTTCAATAGCAAGCTGGCATACAGGCATTTTATTTCATTCAATGAGAAGCAGTCAGATAGACTTTAGGGAATACCAGATTGTGAAATTTTAGAAATAAACCTTTTGGTGTCTTTCAGATGCAGACTTCCCTTCATATCCTCTTCACCTGTGCAACAATTCTTTGCACCTTACACGTCAGCAACAGACAAAGATTTAAACTATTTTCTTCTCAGTACCCTTTTCAATAATCAAAAAATGAATAAGAATTTGTGTTGGGGCACTTTGCAAGGACAATCCCTCACTGAAATTAGAAGCAGCACAAGAGGGATACATATAATTTAACATAACCAATAAAATGTTAGCTCATTACTTCCTACTTTACTCTGTTCTCTCTTTCTCAAGAGTTTAGTTTTTAGAGATTCCTAAATTCTAATTGACTTCTAACATCTTGCTTAGAGCAACCAAACACTGCAAAGTGTGGTCTTTTCACAATTAGAAATAATCCAATCCAAATGCTTTCTTCATTGTTTCTGATGGCTTGTTTAATCACATCACAACCCAAAGTCAAATTAACTCCATCCACATTTCACATCATTCAAGCACCATAAAGATTTTTAAGTATAGCTCTAGTTGCTTCACATTCTCTCTCAGGCTCTTTAAATTTCCAAGAAATCCTGTTACCTCCTTTTCTTTAATCTTCTTAACCTTTCCCAGGGCAGGGGAAGAAGAAACAAGGCATACCTGTGTGTGTTGCAGTAGGGGGTGAAGAGGGGAGGGATGATTAGAATTTAGGTGATCATTATCAATTCTTTGTCATGGAGTAGGAACAATAACATAGATTTTCATTCAATTTTCACAAATATCTTCTGAAAAGTACCTTGTGTACTTTGAAGAGATGCTTTCTGAAGCTCAAAGAAGTGAAAAGTTGTGGTTTGGAGGAGATCCCAAGCTAGGATTTGAACCCATGTCTTCTGACCTTTAGAAATCCTCTGTTTTCCATCACACCACTTCTCTGGGGCTTAAGTCTTTTTTGTTCTTTAAAACCTCTGAACCTGGACATTTGCAGTTTTATCAACTAAGCAGAAAAAGTAATGCTGTTCTCTTAATGTTTGCAATGATTGAAGATCTTGCATAATTTCTAATATGTCTGCCAAGGGACCATTGGAATAGCCATTCAATTTAGATAAACTCCTACACTTGTTTACTACAGTACTTTAAATGAGGATGCTCGATGTTCTTAATCGGCGAATGTGGGTGACTTCGTGCTGGGAGAAAGTACTGAACTTGTCTGAGCCGTTCACATCAATTTTGAATACAGCCAATCAGGCCTGAATTCCCTGTTATCCAAAGCTATGTACATTGCACATCATTTAAATTTATTCTGGAGTAATAAGAGGTGAGAAGTTCGCATGTGTGTTAGTTCTCCTGACACTAGCAAAGGGGATTGGAAAGGCATTGCAGTTCCTATTCATCTTAACAAATATAATGCTGACCTTCCAAGAGAAGTTCTATCTAATATAAACTCTCCCTGCCTTGAGTATTTGGGGTAAGGCGTTAGAGGGCATCACTCAAGCTAAATCTCACGGCTACCACTGGACTATGGATTACTGATGAATGAGCCAGCAGTTGAATGTTTAGCAGGCTGTGACGACTTTGCACAGAAATATGAAAATTTATTGCCAGCTTGCCACATCAGCGCTTGCCCTGCCTGTTTCTGCTCATTCCCTCCTGATGTTACTCCCACTCCATCTGACAGTCAGAGCCCTTCTCGCCCCCCAGGCTCCCCTCCCCCGCAGAGAAATGATGGTCTAAACTGTCACGGAGTCCTGGCCGTCATTTTTCAAGAGCTCAGTCTTTTTCTTTCTTTCTTTCTTAATGATGATTATTAATTGCATCGCTTCCCGCATGACCTTGCTGAAGGGGCTAAAAGGGTGTCCATCCCTGGTACTGTAGAATTGGTGTAGCCCCCAAAGTATGCACGATGCGAGGTGGGGGGAGTGGAGGAAGTGAAAATTTAAAAAAATAAAAAAATAAAAAGCAGGAGAGAAAGCGAGCGAGAGGAGGAAGGAGGAGAGACAGGGCGAGCAGAGCATCAGGCAGACAGGCGCCGCCAGCCAATCAGAGGCGCGCTCCGGAGCTGCAGAGACCCAGCCTGGGAGCCCAGGGCTCGAGGTGCGCGGAGCCCAGTCTGGGCTCTCCGAGGACCGCGAGCAGCCGTGTGCAGAGCTCTGGGGAAGTCCCCTGCTTGCTTCTCATACATTAAGTTCCTTCCCACCAGTTAGGGCAAGTCAGCCAAGGTAAGGTTTCCATACATGACACTTTACTCTGTCGTGACATTAATATTTTTGTGCAGTGGGGCTGCTTTACCCAGTTGAGAATCAAAACAAGACCGGGGAGGTCTTCCTGCCGATGCGTTTTAGAGATTCAGGAGCTAACGGGAAAGTTGCCGTTCACGCCGGCAGCCTCAGCTCCTATACATTTGTATTTTCTCGTGCAGGAATGCTGTCTCAGAGCCTACGGAATGTGAGTCTGGTAACACCGTGGAGTCTGTTGGTGTTGGTCTGTGGCTGTACTGTGATCTGCCCTGCCCCTGAAGAAGTTGGCAGGATACTCAGCGAGGCACATTTGGATAGTGATGGCATCAATGTCAGCTGTCATTTATTTCTCCCAGTGAAAGTCAGGGGAACCACGTCAGAACAGAAGCAGGGACACTGAAATCGGATTTTCGAGGGTGTGTTTTAATTATCGCCTTTCCTCTAAATTTACATGGAATCCGAGCACCGAACTGCAGCAAGGCAAGCCTCGGTGTTTGGTTTTCTTTTTCCTTTCTTTCTTTCTTTCCTTCTTCTTTTTTCTTCCCGTGGATCGGTTCCGTAAGTGCTTTCTAAGGGCGTACAATGAAACTTTTACTTCTTTTAAAGGGGATTATAAATCATGCATGAAAAGAAATTAGTTAGGCTCCTGTGATCAGCAAAACACTTTATGGAGGATTTGCCCTTATGTTGTTAATTCTTATTTATTTCCCTTTCTTAATATCCTGGACATGATTTGAGTGTTAAAACAACGATTATTTTGTCTTGATTTCTATGTCTTGAAAACAAGGTAAAATGTTGCCGTATGTGTGTGAGTGTGTGTGTGTGCGTGTATGTGTGCGTGTGTGTGCATATGTGCGTGTGTGTGTTGCGTGCAGATGTGGAGCTGGCAAACCTCTCATCTGTAACAGGTGAAAAAATAGAATTTTATTAGCTGGAATGATTTCAATGTCTGTTATATTTAATGAACTTTCTGTTTAGTGAAAAATAAATGCTTCTTTGCCTTTTCTCTATTGGAAATCAGAAATAAAATAAAATAAAAACCTTAGCTAAAATTATTATGATCTTCAGTTTGCTCAGGTGATGGCATCACTGCTTTGAGCTGAGAGACAGATCAGAGAAAGATTTTGTTGTGCAGCCAAAAACACTAACTACTGGCTCAGACTGTTTTTCAGACCTTTATTTCCCACTCTGGGATCACCCACAGATTTTTCAGGGTAGGGGGCTTTCCTTTTGCAGTAATTGTTCTCTATTTTACTGTACTTGTCTTGGGAGAGAAAAATATTCAATTCTAAATCAAGGGTTTGGGTTCCAGGCAAGATTGCATACATGCATTTTGGATGTGGGAGGGGGAAGGCAGGATGTGAAATTAGTAGAGAATTAGTTCCATATCTAACCAAGAACCAATCATGTTTGCAGGCTCCTTCAAGCTTCCTGCTATGTAGTCTATTCTGCATTTCTTGATAATAAATTGACCTAGTGTGTGTCAATCGGTTTATTTACCTCTTAAAACATCGAGGAGCTTTTGTGAATAAGTATTTTATAAATCATAGTTCTGATGAGTCTTCATAGATATAGCTAACTTAATGAAACAAACAAAATGACACCAGTGGTCAAGACTGCTTTCCTATCTGACAACAATAGGAAGTAGAAAATGAGGATTTGCTATTTTATATGCAATAGAAATGCTCTACTGAAGATAATCCAGTAGTAATAGAGAGTATACGATTAGAAGGAAACTAAGTGACAGGAAACTCTAGCTGAAACTGTATCTAGTGAAGGTTGAATATAATTAGCTACAGCAGTTATGCATGTGCAATACCAACCAGTACTTGAATAAAGTGTGCCCACTGTAAAATTTGGAACATGTTATTGCCCCAAATGCCCTACTTCAAGTGGATATAGTGGAATCATGGGAATTAATTTGTCACTTAGTCCAACTTTATAAATTTTTTAGAATAAGGATGCTATATATAGTTAACTATAAAGTACTTTTCCTCCCTTGGCCCATATAAGTAGCATTAGTAAGCATTATGTTGATTTTTGTGGTCTGATAAATACAAACCACATGTCTACAGGTTTCTGTTCCTCACCTGTCCTGGATTTGGTTTGTTGATGATTAACAGATAGAAGTATACCTCACATATTTGCAACTTATCTTAACTATTCTTTAGAATCTCAAGTTGCATGCAAGCTTCAAGATATATAGACTAAAACATGGTGAAACTAATGACAGGATAAATTTATTATTCTTGAATCTATATGTTTGATAACAGTGTAGTTTTGTGACCAATGAGGAGATTAAGCTTTTAAATTCAAACTATGTGTAAAATTTTTTTTGCTCTTCTTAAAGATAAGTACAAGGCTCCAAACTCTTTAATTATAATTTTATTATAATTATAATTTTATAATATATTATAAATATACATTATATAAAATATATAATAATTATATATTATGATTTTAATTATAATTTTATTATATATCCTCATTATTATTGAATCATTCATGTCAATGGAACTATATTCTAGATTAGGCCCCCTTACCTTGATATTATTGAAATTCTAGGCTCCATGATTCTCATAGGGAATTGCCTTGTGCATTTTAGACTACTTCGGAGCAGGATTGTACTCTCTACCAAGTAAAGACCAGTAAAAGTACCCTGAAGGTATAACAACCAAAATGTCTCCATCCATTTCTAACTATTCCTGTTGGAAGTAGGTAAAACTATATGCCTTCTCCATTGGGAACTACTGCTCTAAGCAAAAACAACTGGTGTGTATAGAAACATACTTGAGTAGGCAGCAACCCATGTGTAGCTCATGTTGAGTGCTCTACAGATCAGTTCTCTTCTATTGCTTTGATAATGGATGGATTTTAACTTGGATGCTTTTTGTGATGGTCTGACAATAATGTAGAAAAGCTTGTGAACATCATATTGTTTTCTTCTAGACTTAGGTCTTCTATATTATGTGTTAATATTCTGGAGAACAAGAAGATATAATACAGGAGAGAAGGGCAACATAGATATTTGGGCTGGAGACAAATTTCACTTCAATTTCTCAGATGAGCTTTTAATATAAATAAGAAATAAGTGCTTTCATTTATATATTTCATACTGATTCTTGTTATAGTTGCTTTCATTATAATTTTGGAGTCTTTGTATGTGTGGGTGTTCACTCGAGTAATTTTGTATTATTGAAATAATTTACAGTGTTTAAAACTTCCAGAAGTAAAAGGAACACATTTTGATTTAAACATCACAGTGTTTTTATACTCATCATGGTATGTAGCACAATGGAAAAACACTGAGATTAATGACTCAAAGATATGGCAGATCATGAGTATTGCCATGGATAAGGTGACACATGATTTGTCAGCAGACCACTTTCCTCAAATGTAAAAAAAGGGATAATAATCGGTGTGGAAAACAAACATACCAGGTGCTATAATTGGTTGTAATTTGTAAAGATTTATACCCATGTTGTTAGATTATCATGTATTCAATGACTTTGAAGATTTGTTTGATGAGAATTGATTTAGCATGCTAACTCTTCCAGCTGTTCTAAGGTGGTTAAATATCATCTACAAGAAAAGTTGGTATTCTTTCTTCAAATATGTTCTTTTACAGATGAAAAGGAACAACTTCAATTTGTAATATGTGATTCAATATTATTGACAAACCTCAGTTTTTTCTTCCATTTTTACTTATATCATCTAAAATTATAATTGATTATAAAAGTACCGACACATCAATGAAAGATTGTGGTTTGATAATTCCTATCCAGCAGGAACCATTATTAGCACTTTGGTACATATTTTTAAATTTTTTTTAAATTAATATAGGTGTCTCCTCATAGTTGTAAATTTAAAACAGATTTAAAGTAAAAATGATATACAAATGTAGGCATTCACATAAACACATATACACACCATTTTTAAGCAAATAAAACACAATTTCATTACATTATATATAACTAATTTTATAGCATGTTAGTATTTCATATGAGTTAAATTTCATGGGGTCATGTGTATGCATGTATATATATTTTGTTGTTTTGAAAAATACTCCAATATGCTTTAATGCGGAGGCCTCACATTTAATACTACTTCAATGTTAAGAACAGGTATTTAATACTGATTTTTATTTTCAGTAGGACAGAGTATTTTCAGATTGGTGGCTGCTTCTGCCATATTGAGTATTGTGTATAATTGTACAGATATACTGTCATTAACTTAAGTAATCGCTTATAATTTAAAATGAAGAGTAAAGAAAACATCAGAACAAATAATTTAATATCTTTATCACTGCTGATAGTGTGTTGACTTTCAGGGAAAAGAATTGACAGAGAAGTACTGTAGGAAGAAGTATAAAAGGAGCATTTACTCTAATGTACTCTGACACACCTGAATTTACTTCTGTGAATATAAGAAAATTCTGTTATGTAGACCTCTGCATTGCCAGACTATTTTAATTTAAGCTATTTCTTGATAATCTTAGAATAAAGTGAATAGAGGTATATCCCAAAAATTAGTTAGATAGAAAGTACTATGAAAGCAAATATTTCACTTTTGTAAGATCCTTCATTTTCAGGGCAAGTTCATAATCAAAATTTTATTCAAAGTGCATGAAATATAGTATATGAATGGCTGGTAAAATGTATTCAGGTTTTAAGACTACTCTTCCTGGGGCTGGCACTGTTGTGCAGCAGGTAAACACCCTGGCCTGAAGCGCTGGCATCGCATATGGGCGCCGGTTTGAAACCCGGCTGCTCCATTTCCTGTCCAGCTCTCTGCTATGGCCTGGGAAAGCAGTAGAAGACGGCCCAAGTCCTTGGGCCCCTGCACCCGTGTGGGAGACCCAGAGGAGGCTCCTGGCTTCAGATCAGCACAGCTCCAGCCATTGCGGCCAACTGGGGAGTGAACCATCAGATGGAAGACCTCTCTCTCTCTCTCTCTCTCTGCCTCTCCTCTCTGTGTGTAAC